CGCACACAGACACAATCATGCGTAACATATTTACACACATCTATCCATCGATCCATGTATCTTTTGGTATTTATCCGCACTCTCAAGTGTTTGACGAATTTGGATGTAGAGTGTGAAAAAGTAAAGCAAATACGATCAGTTCAGTGGGTAGATGAGTTGGGAGATAATTTGATATATTAATATTGGCCGACTTGAGATGGGCGATGTGGTCGATTTAATGCTGGTGATGTCTTGAAACCCACAGAGAGGATGGTTGTACCCTGTTGTGCTTATGTGAAGTGCATTGGAACGTCTTTGGGGTTTTCCTCTTTATCTTCTGTTGTTTTTTGTCTTTGTGTTAACTAATCATCATCAAACGTCTGAAAATTGTAAACTCAAAATTGAAAAATTACACATTTTATTAAATAATTGTATTTTTCAAAATACACAAGCTTCGAGAGAGCTCTCTGCCATTCAGATTTTGTCAACAGAGCAGTGGGGTGGTGGTCATTAGAGAACATACATTACAATTTTCAATGCTAATTGAGGGCCTGTAACGAAAAGCCTGTGATTTGAGAAATTTTATGTGGGGGGGTATTTGGATACATATTAGAGGTATTGTTTATATAGTCATGGGAAGAAATTTTTGGGAAGCTGTATTTAGTCTAATATATGGGTTCAAAGATGAGAAAAATTTCATGGCATGACGATCACTAAATATTTACAAGAACCTCCATTGAAAACACTAACATTTCCTTAGCCACTGAGAAAGTTTTTTTTTTTGGAAACAGATCAACAGGTGCATGATTTTTCGTACCTCTCTCACATTTATGGAAAATGGAATACTTAATAAATACCCTCCACCAGTTGGAAGGAACTTGAAAAAAACCCAGTATTTTTTCAAAGCACTTAAAGGAGATGATTATTTTAAGGAATATTTTTTTCAAGGACTAACAGGCCTGGATTTTTTAAAGAATATTTTTTCCAACGACTAAGAGGCGTGGATTTTTTAAAGAATATTTTTTCCAAGGACTAACAGGCGTGGATTTTTAAACGAATATTTTTTCAAAGGACTAGCAGACGTGGATTTTTTGAAGAATATTTTTTCCAAGGACTAACAGGCGTGAATTTTTAAACGAATATTTTTTCAAAGGACTAGCAGACGTGGATTTTTTAAAGAATGTTTTTCCAAAGACTAACTGGCGTGGATTTTTTTAAAGAATATTTTTTCCAAGGACTAACAGGCCTGGATTTTTTAAAACATTTTTTTTCCAAGGACTAACAGGCGTGGAATTTTTAAAAACTATTTTTTCAAAGACTAACGGGCGAGGATTATTTTAAAGAATATTTTTTCAAAGACTAACGGGCGAGGATTATTTTAAAGAATATTTTTCTCAAGGAATAACAGAATATTTTTTTCAAGGACTTTTTTCAAGGACTAACAGGCGAGGTTTATTTTAAAGAATATTTTGTTATGGACTAACAGGCCTGGATTTTTAAAGAATATTTTTCCCAAAGACTAACAGGCGAGGATTATTTAAAAGATTTTTTTTTTCAAAGACTAACAGGCGTGGATTTTTTAAACGAATATTTTTTCAAAGGACTAGCAGACGTGGATTTTTTAAAGAATGTTTTTCCAAAGACTAACAGTCGAGGATTTTTTTAAAGAATATTTTTTTTCCAAGGACTAACAGTCCTGGGGTTTTTAAAGAATAATTTTTTCAAGTTCCATCAGGCGTGGATTTTTTAAAGAATATTTTCTCCAAGAACTAACAAGCGTTCTATCTTTAAAGAATTTTTTCCAAGGACTAAAAAAAAGGATTTCCAAGGCTGGAAAACTTGGATTTTTAAGAAAACTTTTAAGGACCACTTCTGATGGATTTAAAAAAAGGATCTCCAAGGCTATAAAACTTGGATTTTTATGAAAATTTTTTAAGGACCACTTCTGATGGATTTAAAAAACGAAGAAGGATATCCAAGGTTAGAAATCTTGGATTTTTAAGAAAAAAATTATGAATTTAAAAAGGGAAAAAGGATCTCTAAGGCTAGAAAACTTGGATTTTTAAGAATATTGTTAAGGGCCACTTCTGATGGATTTAAAAAAAGGATCTCCAAGGCTTGAGAACTTAAATTTTTAAGAAAAATTTTTAAGATCATCAAAGCTAGAAAACGTCTATTTTTTTAAGAATATTTTTTCAAGGATCGTTAAGCACCTTCAAGACTAGAAAACGTTGATTTTTAAGAATACTTCTTAAAGGATCATCGAGGACCTCCAAGGCTAGAAAACGTGGATTTTTAAGAATATTTTGTTAAGAATCATTGAGGATCATCAAGACCAGAAAACGTGGGTTTTTAAGGGCCATCGAGGACCTTCAGGACTAGAAAACGTGGATTTTTAAGAAAATCTTTTCAAGTATCAACAAGGACCTTCAAGACTATGACACGTGGATTTTTATGACTATTTTTCAAGAATCATCAAGGACCTTCAAGGCTAGAAAACGTGGATGTTTATGAATATTTTTTAAAGGATAAATAAAGGTCCTCCGAAACGTGTTTTTAAGAATATTTTTTCAAGGACATCCAAGAATATTTTTTCCAGTATCATCAACGACCTTCAAGCCTAGAAAAGGTGTATTTTTTTAGAATATTTAAGTGTGGGTTTTTTTAGAATATTTTTTCAAGGACCTTCAAGGCTAGAAAATGTAGATTTTTAAGAATATTTTTTCAAGGACTTTCAAGTCTAAAAAAAGTGGATTTTTAAGAATATTTTTTAAGAACCCTCAAGTCCAAAAGAAGTGAGTTTTTTTAAGAAATTCTTTTCCGGGATTGTTAAGGACCTCCAAGGCTAGATAACATTCGACCTGTAGACAAGCGACAACCATACGTCAAAGTTCCCGATTACCTTCGAATCATCATCATCCCGAACGACAGCTTCACCACAACGCAAGCATAATTTTTCCTGGCCTTCCTCACTTCTCAAAATTCCGAGGTCACCCACGAGTCACCTTCGAATCGTCCGCTAATCACTCTTCACATCAACCACCCGAATACTAATCGTGAAAAAAACCCGATATCGCTACATCATAGTTCCCGATTGTCCACAAATCGTTCACCTTCTTGGTTACGAGTCCTCGGAAACATCAAATTCCCGATCTGAACAACTCTATTTCGAATGCTCGAACACCCCCGAAGTCCTTTCGCCATCTTATATTTCATATTCATCTAATCGTATTTCAAAACGGGTGGACTGTATTCTATTCTTATAAAACAGCCTTTTAGCCTTTTCTATAAAATCGCCGTTCTCTGCTCTGATAGTCCCTGAAAAATATCCTTTTTTATGCTCTCCGCCGTTCTATAGAGGGTATATTAGCTTTCTTTTCTTTCGAACGAATTGAGATAGGAGGCTAAAATTTAGCACATGTGTGTTTTTTCCAGTAGGCAGGTGAAGTTCGTAAATGGGTCATGTCGGTCCACGGCATTACCTCCCTTTATTCGGTTTTTTTTTATTTTTGTAAAATTTTGTACTTGTAGAACTTAATGGGTACTAAAGCCTATGTCAAAACGGTTTGCCTTTATACGGTATTTTTGGAAATTTTCCAAATGATGGAGGTTATCAAAAGTTCGGCTGGGCCTTAGATGCTTTTTACTTGTTTTCTTTAAAAAAAATTGGTACATATGTAGGCCTCCTTCTTCTCCTAAGAAGTTGTCCCTTATCAATCCATTCAAAATGTCTCAACCACCGTGTCATTAATTTACCCACTTTGCTACTAATTCAAGGAAAGATAACCCTCACCATTAAATAACCCATCTTAGCTGCTGTCAAAACAGTTTAAATTTCTTCCATGTCGATGTCAATGTTGTTGTTGTTGTTCTTGGTTATTTTCCCAACTCAAGAAAAGTGTAAATCTATAAGATACATCTAGCGCTCAGCTTGTTTTCATTTTCACACCTAAGTGATATTTCTATAATGCAGCTGACATTTTTCTAATATTTTTCTGTGGTTTCTCACACAAGATTTGAAGAGGAAGAGGAGGCAGCTAGCAATGATACGCTTGATGCAATAACGACGGCAACAACAGCAGCAAGAACAACAACAAAAATATTATTATCGCCTTAGGTAAAACAAACAACAGCCAAGGGGGGGGATCATCCAAGTAGCTTATCCATCCATCCAGCCAACCATTCATAATGATGATGATCCAGTGGATCTGTGTGACCACCACTAATGTCGCTAAACAAAACTTATGAACCGAGCGACCGACCAACCTCCCGACCGACCGAGCGATCGTCCGACTTCCAAACAACTTGGCAACCAACCTCCATTGCAATTGAGACTTGTCAACACTTTGGTTTAGTTTGGCTGGGCTTGCAATTGGATCTTGAAACCGGCAAACACAGGGAATGTTCCGCTACCTTAGCTACCTACATACGACAGCTACAACAAAAACAACAATAATTATAATGATGGCTGGTGATCATCATCCAATTGCATGGCTTGTTGGGGGTTTTCTTTATTTAAATCATATTTCCTTGTATTTTCAGAGAAGAAAAAATAAAAAAAAATAATAGCAACATGCCACGTTGTTGTTTTTGTCATTTTTTCTACTTCTTCTTCTTCTCCTCCTCCATTTTCCACATAAATGTTTTACAAAAATTACTTAATAAGTGTTAAATTACCATAAACTATTTGTATTGTCATTTGCCACTGCACCATCTCCATTTGCATCGCCATGTAGCGTCATCTCCTCCACCTCAATCACCAATCCAACCAAGCAACCACCCAGCCAGTTAGTCAGTCACTCAGCCATCTTCTCATTACCTTCAATTTGTCTTGGTTAAGGTTCTTTGGTAATGCTGATACACCTGCTGACAGTCAGCAGCTAAAGACGTAGATTTCATGCAAGAATAATGATCTAGAATTTCTGCCCCCCACCCCTCTTCTTTTTTTGAGATTTACTATTGTTTCCTGTTTTTCTATTTTTCCTCTTTCTCATTTGGATTTTTTTCTCTCTTCTTTCCAGGCCTGCAGAAACCACATAAAACCAACTGTACCTGAAGAACACTACAAAGCGGTGTGTCGAGCTTTAGTAACCGAAACCCTAGAATTGCGAATATTCCTGCAACAAGTTTTGAATAGTGGTGAGTATGGGTTTGGAAATTGCGTTTGAAGGTAGTTCATAAATTTAAAAATTTTGTTCATAAATTTAGGAACCTCGTTCATAAATTCAATGATTTTCGTTTTTGCGTGATCAAATATATATTTCAATAGCACTACAAATAAAGCCTATATTTGAAATTGAAGTTCGATAGTGTTTTTACGGGTTTGAATGAATGTAGGAATCAATTTAGGAATTTCGTTCATACATTCAATGAACTTTTTTTTTCGAAAAAGTGATTTGTATTTAAAGAAAAATATTTTTAGAGCTAAAATATGAAAACTTCGAATGTTTTCGAGTCTTGGAATGAACTTCGAAACCAATTTAATTTTTTTACGGGTTTGAATGAATGTAGGAATCAATATAGGAATTTTGTTCATAAATTCAATGAACTTCGTTTTTAGAAAAAAGAATACGAAATATTTGTAGAGCTAATGTATGAAAACTTACATAAGATAAAGCTTTCGGGTGTTTAAATGAATTTCGTAACCAATTTAATGTTTTCACGGGTTTGAATGAATGTAGGAATCAATATAGGAATTTTGTTCATAAATTCTATGAACTTCGTTATTGGATGATGTGGTAACTCTTTTAATTTAACATATTTGATGAGCTTATCTGAGAATTAAGAAGTTAAGAATTTTTTCGTTAATGTTTTGTGGCGTTTAATTGATTTTCAGAAACAACTTAGGAACATAGTTCATAAATTCGATGAACTTTTTTTTGAAAAGCAAAACCTGGAAATTTCGGATATTCCAGGAACAAGTGGTAAATATCGGTTTTTCTAATGTGTTTGCCGGCATGAATGTATTTAAGGTTTAATTTAGGAATTCAGTTCATAAATTCAATGAATTTTGTTTTTTTTTTTTCTTTTTTTTTTTTTGAAGAATTGGTAAAATTTAACAATTTACCGAATATAGGGAGGTACCGTTATTTTTAAAAAAGTCCGTGGAAAAATGTGGCGAAAATCATCAAAATATCGAATATCGGAGGGTACCGTTTAATATACGATATCGTGGACCTATATAGACATTTCTCTTCCAGGGAGTAAAGTGCTTAGAAAGAACTTCTAGTATGGATTTATAGACAATTCCATTGAAAAATCGGGAGGTACCGTTTAATGAGGGATATACGATACCGTGAAAGTGCTCGAAACGAACTCTTTTTGAGGATTTTCAGATAATACCATTAAAAATTGTGGCTACAATCATCAAAATACCGAATACCGGGGGTACCGTTATATGGGGGATATACGGTATTGTGGACCCATATAAACAATACTCTTCCAGGCGGTAAAGTACTCAGAGGAAATTTGGCTACAGTCAAAAAAATATCGAATATCGGAGTTACCGTTATATGGGGCTATGCGATATCGTGCGCCGATATATACCATATTCGAACTTGACCTGCCTGCAGACAAAGACAGATCTGTGCAACATTTTAACTTCCTATCTTTATTCGTTTTGACTCTAGCTTGATTACAACAGACTGACGGACGGTCAGGGCTAAATCGTCTTAGAATTTTACGCTGATCAAGAAGTATATACAGGGTTATATAAAAAAACTGCAACAAAGTCAAACGCCATGATATTTTATTTTTTTTTAAGTTTTATTGAATGAAAGCAAAAAATGTCGGAAATAACATCAAATTTTAGAATAAGTTCAGATTTGTTCGAATTGGTCACCTTTGGCACGAATTAAGGCCTTTAAAAGGTCAATGAAACCATCACACGCTTCCCAAATGTTGCTCTGCGGTATTTTGGCTCATTCCCGGCGAAGCGCTTGCTAGACAATAGTCCAACGGATTAGAATTCGGAGATTTTGGTGGCCATTGTGCGCTGGAAATGAAACGAGGAACCTCATTTTTTAACCGTGCTGAGTGCGATGGTGCTGAGTCCTGTTGGAATGTCCACGGTCTGCGGCCAAAATGTTTGCGTGCCCAAGGCTTTAATACACCCGCCAGAATATTTTCGCGATAACATTCGGGAGTTATATGATGCCACGGTCGATTAATAGAAGCGGAGAGCGACCATCGGCTGTTATGGTGGCCCACACCATCACCATGGCCGGCGCTTGGGTTCTGTTGGCCAACCGAAGGTGCACATTTTCAGCTGACCTCTTTGGCAAGTAAACACGATCATTTTGTTCCTTTACAAACTGCTGAACAATGAATGTTTTCTCATCGGAGAAAACTAAATTCGGCAGTTCACCACCATTTTTCGGCCACTGCGACGCGGGTTTCGATCAAGTCGCTTCTTTACTTTTCGAACCATTTCTGCTGATGTTGCTGTTTTCTTCCGTCCACTTCCTTGACATCGTAGGGCTACGCTACCAGTATCACGGTAACGAGCGATGGTACGAGACACAAAAGATTTATTCACATTTAAATGCTGGAGTGCTCTAACAATAGCCACTTGTTGTTTTCCAGCCAAATATAAAGAAATCACACTATCACGCTTGAATTCCTCCATCACGAGTAACTTTTTTTCTGGAAAATTCTCACAAAAACGGCTTTTGTACGCTTGTAAACAATATAATGAGCTATCACGGGAATCATTTTAACAGCTGTCGGACGAGTGGCTTATAAATAACAGCAGCCTGAAGTTGGTTGCAGTTTTTTCAACATCATCACCCTTTATATACTTTGTAAGGTCTAAAATTATTATGTCGATGAGTTACATACGGAATGACGAACTTAATATACCCTCCATACTATGTATGCTGGAGGGTATAAAAAGGCCTAACCCGAACTGTTGAAACGAATCTGAAAATTTTAAGGTGGTGACGAGTAAGTGGGCTTTATTGAATTGAAGTCTCGGAGCAATGGAAATCTGAATATATAATATATATCTGCAAGAAATCTCCTTAATTACGGGAATGTGGAAGAATAAATCATCAACGATGTTTTGGTCAATTTTTGCTTATTTTTTTAATTACTGCCAAACTGTTCCAAAAACTTCAGTTTAGAGCCATGACTCCAAGGATTTTAAGGTGTTGACGGGGTTAGCGGGCAATTTTGAGTTTTAGCTGCAAAGTAGCCTTGAAGCTTCCTAATTTTGAGAAAAACAATCTATTGAAAATTGAATTAAATCTTTTAAACTTCATATTTCTCAATTCGCTTTTAATTAATCCACATTTAACCATAATTCTCGGAATCTCACATACGGCCTAATATATTACCCATAATCCATAAATCTTGTTTCTCTCATTTGTTATCTTCATCTTAATCATTTAGCTGTTTCCCATATTAATTATTCGAAATTAACATAAATTCTCTTGTTCACTTATGCAGGTGCTGATAATTTACATTTAAAAGCGGATAACCAGACGTCACAGCAGGAGTTGGCCAAATTTGATTTCAACGATTGGGTAAGTAGTCGACACCGTCTTATTTTTTAAATTACAAACAGGCTTAAAACTCAAATCGTCTACAAAACGAAATTTAAAAATATATATGTATATATTATTAAACAATTTATAATATTTTGACTGAAGACACACACACATACAACCGTGTATGTATGTGTGTGTCTCCCATAAGTAAATCATAAATCAAAACGAAAAGCCTGTCTTATCCATCACCGTCATCGTCGTCGTAGTCTTCTTCATCAGTTATTCCAGACATACCCAATATGATTTACGAAGATTCAAACCTAATTTATTATGGGGCCAGGGGGGAAGGGCCTGAAATCTCCATAAGGAATCCAATTTTTATGATAGGAATTTTCTTAAAAACCACACACAAATTTAATTCACACCGCTGTAAGTCCGTGGCCAATAATTGTTATTGGTTTGATATGGCCACTGTCTGTGTGTTTGTTGTAATGATTATCACAAAATTGGCACTCCTTGTTTTGGCCCATATTTTTTACATTTTTTTTTTTTTTTGGGAAGCAGTTTTTCTTTGATGTTGTGGCCTTTTGAATTTCCTTTTCTTTTATTTTGTTGTTGATATTATTGTAAGTCATTTATTTGGTCGTTTAATTTTGTTTTTTCATTGTTATTATTGCCATTCTATATTCTACGGGCAGCAGAAGTATTGGCTTGCGTGTTTTCTGATTAAATAAATAATTTTTGTTTTTTTTTTTGTTTTGTCCCACAAAAATTTTGTGTTGTAAATTTAAAGGCAGTGATTTTTATGAGACCACACGTGTCGGTCTGATTCGAATTTTATTGCGTGTATTGCCGATGATTTATTAGCCATGAAAAAAGGGGTAATTATGATTAAAAGTTTGTAATTTTTTGGCAAAATGATATAAGGCGCAAAAGCAATCCGAGATTAAACAGGTGATGGTATTTTTTAAAAATATAGAAAAAAAATCAAGAGATGGCACTTCGACAAAATTATGTTTATAAAATCCGCAAGAAAGTCCTAATAGACCCCAAAAGACGCCAAGAGACTTAATCTTACCTAAATACTATGAATTCATTTAAAGTCGTACTTTGTGTTAATTTGTGCAAAAATCTCCAACAAAGCATTATTTTAGAAGGATGGCGTCAAAGACCAAAGTATTCCTCATCAAATTTCACTATAACTCTCTTAATAAAGGAAATCGGTATATATAATATTTATCTGTAGAAAATCGTCTTAATTACGGGGATGTGGCCAAGAAATCGTCATCGATTTTTTGATTAATTTTTGTGTATTTTCTTATTTACTGACAAACTACCCCGGAAACTTCAGTGTAGAGCAAAGACCCCAAAGAGAAAAATATTCTAAATTTAATTTGAGTATAGGCCACCGAATGGCAGATTTTATGTTACATTTGTCGGTAGAACATGGATTAATATTGGGATATATATACACAAAATTTATTCAAAGAATATTTTTGTCATTTTTGGTATACTTTCCAAATGAATGTCCAAATTGCCCGAAAACTTAATTTTAGGGCTAAAATTCTAAAGAAGAAATTATTCTACATTGAATTTTAGTATAAGTCGCCGAATAATACATTTGGATACATAAACAGAAAATTATTATAAGAATTTGCGGTCATTTAAGTATGTTTTCCAAATAAGCGTCTGAAATTCCCCCAAAACTTAATTTTTGGGCTAAGATTCCAAAGAGGAAATTATTCTGCGTTACATTTTAGTATAAGTCACGGAACAGCAGAAATCTGTATTTGCTACATATATCGGTAGAAAGTAGGTTTAAATTTTGATATATGAATAATAAATCATTCAACGATTATTTGGGCAAATTTGGTATATTTTCCAAATTAATGCCCAAATTGGTCCAAAACTTTGTTTTAGGGTTAAGATGCCAAAGAGGAAAATATTCTACATTTAATTTTAGTATAAGTCGCCAAACAACAGATTCATGAATATGTATTAGTTTATTGATAGAATGTCGGTTTATATTCGGATAAATAAACAGAAAATTATTCTAAGAATTTGCGGTCATTTAAGTATGTGTTCCAAATAAGCGTCCGAAACTCCCCCAAAACTTCATTTTTGGCCTAAGATTTCAAAGAGGAAATTATTCTGCATTAAATTTTAGTATAAGTCACGGAACAGCTGAATCCTTTATATGCAGTAATTATCGGTAGAATTTCGGTTTAAAATTTTATATATGAATTATAAATCATTCAACGATTATTTGGAGAAATTTGGTATATTTTCCAAATGAATGCCCAAAATGGCCCAAAAACGTAATTTTTGGGTTAAGATGCCAAAGAGAATATTATTATACATTAAATTTTAGTATGTCACGGAACAACAAAAACCTGTATTAGTAATATTTTATTGGTAAAACATCGGCTTAAATTTGGATATATGAAAAGAAAATTATTCAAAGAATTTGCGGTCATTTAAGTATGTTTTCCAAATAAGTGTCCGAAAATCCCCCAAAACTTCATTTTAGGGCTAAGATTTCAAAGAGAAAAATTTTCTACATTAAATTTTAGTATAAGTCACGAAACAACAGAATCCGTTATTTGCAGTAATTATCGGTAGAATGTCGGTTTTAATTTTTATATATGAATAATAAATCATTCAACGATTATTTGGGCAAATTTGGTATATTTTCCAAATTAATACCCAAATTGGCCCAAAACTTTGTTTTAGAGCTAAGATACCAAAGAGGAAAATGTTCTACATTAAATTCCAGTGTTGCTCACGTAAAAACAGAATCCTTTATATGTAATACTTTATTGGTACAATATAAATAGCTTTAAATTTGGAAATATAAACAGAAAATTATTTAAAGAATTTGCGGTAATTTTAGTATGTTTCCAAATAAATATCGAAATTCCCTCAAAACTTAATTTTAGGGCTAAGATGTCAAAGAAAAAATTTTTCTACATTAAATTTTAATATAAGTCACGGAACAGCAGAACCATGTATTTGCAATATTGATCTGTAGAAAATCGGTTTAAATTTAACTATAAAAAAACAATAAATCATTGAACGTTTTTTTGGGCAAATTCGGTATATTTTCCAAATTAATGCCCAAAGTGCCCCAAAACTTAATTTTAGGGCTAAGATTCCAAAGAGGAAATTATTCTACATAAAATTTTAGTATAAGTCACGGAACAGTAGATATCTGTATATATAATATATATCGGTTTAAATTTAATTATAAAAACAAAAAATTATTCAAAGAATTGTTCGATCATTTTAGTGTATTTTCCAAATAAGTGTCCAAAACTCCCCGAACACTTAATTTTACAGTTAAGTTTCCAAAGAAAACATTACTCTATAGACAATTTCACTATAAGTCGCCGAAGGGCCGAAAGCTGTATTCTTAAAATTTATTAATAAAATATAAGATACAATTCGAGCACTCAGTAAGGTTTTAGTGAAATATCGCCTTTAGTTTGGGGACATAAAAAATAAATTATCGATTTATAGGTCGTTTTGGTATATTTTTAAATTTGGTGTCTAAACTCCCTGAAAACTTCATTTTTGGATTGAGATTCCAAAAAAAATGTTTTCTTTATGGAATTTCACTATAAGTTACCGAACAAATGAAATCTGTATAAATAATATTTATTGGTAGAATATCGATGTAGATTTGGATATATAAACGAGAAATCATTGATATAGTTTTTTCGGGCATTTTTGGTGAAATTTCCAAATTAATGCCCAAATGGCCCCAAATCTGCATTTTTGAGTTAAGATGCCAAAGGGGAAATTATTTTACATTAAACTTTAGTATAAGAAACAACATAAATCTAAAAATAAAATAATTAACAGAAGAATATGAGTTTAAATGTGGATATATAAAAAGGAAATTATTCAAAGAATTTGTCGGTCATTTTTGTACATTTTCCAAATAAGTGTCCGAAATTCCGCGAAAACTTAACAGTAGGGTTAAGGTAACAAAGAAAACAATATTCTATGTACTATTTCAATATAAGTCGCCGAAGGGCCGAAAGCTGTATTCTTAAAATTTATTAATAAAATATTAGATACAATTCGAGTCTATTGGGTTTTTTGGTCAATTTGACACATATTCAAAGTAGGTGCCTGAAAACCCTCAAATCTTGATTTTAGCTTGACGTTATTAAGGGAAAAAATATTCTACTCTCAATTTCACTATATGTCACTGACCAACAAAAATCGGTATATATAATATGTACCAGTAAAATATCGTAAAATTTGGGGACTTCAAAAAGAAATGGTCGATTTTTAGGTAGATTTGGTATAGTTTTCAATTTGGTGCCAAAACAACCCGAAAACTTCATTTTAGGCTTGAGTTATCAAAGAGAAATGTTTTCCTTATGTAATTTCACTGTAAGTTACCGAACAAATGAAATCTGTATGTATAATATTTATCCGTAGAATATCGGTGTAGATTTGGATATATAAACAAGAAATCATTGAAATAGTTTTTTTTTGTCATTTTTGGTATACTCTCCAAAATAAGGCCCAAATTGCCCCAAATCGTCATTTTTGGGTTATGATGTCAAAGAGGAAATTATTCTATATTAAGTAAGTATAAGTCACGGAATAGCAGATATCGGTATATATAATACATATTGGTAGAATATCGGTTTAAATTTAGATATATTTACAATAAATCATTCAACGATTCTTTGGGCCATTTCGGCCCTTCACACCTCAATTTCAAAACCCCTGTCTCCATATTACAGAGATGACATGTGAAATATGTCCCACTCTTTTTCCAAAATTTTGATCTCCTTTGAAATCGAACGGTTTTGTCATGGGATTATCTCGAAGAGAAAAATTACAAAAATATGGCTTGCAGTAAAAAAAATCTGTCTATCTGGCTGTCAGTCATTTTGGTGTTTGCCTCTTTGTTTTTTGCGATTGCGTAAAGTGTTGCACACACACAACACAAACTCCAAAATCCAATACAGAATTATAATGTGCGGATTATTTGTCAACGCTCAGCATTTGGGGAG